AGCATCCTCTTGGGAGTCGGTTCCACAATTAAAAGTTCTTCAATCGAGGCACAGATAAATTTGCTCTTACTTCTAATTTTAAAATGAAAGAATTTTTTCCCATTTTCTGTAAAGCTGAGATCAGGTTTCTTTCATGATTCTATAGGCCTGCCCTATAGAAACAGACGCTGTAAAATTTCTTCATCCATAATATCAAATTATGTGTCAGTATGCACACCTACCTACCTAAGTGTACTGGGCAACTAATCTTTACCGAGCTCAACGTCTGCTTGGGCTGTAAGCCAATCCCTGCTGCAGATGCCCGCTCAGGCACATTTGTGCTTGATCAAAACCGACAATGATCACCTGTCGTTTATATTCCAACGATGCATTATAAACGTTAGTTACAGTTTCTGGGAGAAAGTTTATAATCTAGCGTGATTGGAAGTGGTCAGTACACTCAACATCTCGGTCACGATGACTTGTTACATCATGCTAATACAAACATTGACGGTTTCGGAGCAGGCCATTCTAAACAAACTCACTCAGATAGAATGGGTTAATAGTACAGGTAGATTTTGGAATCCTGACACGAGAAATAATGAAACGAAAGAATTTTTTATCAAATCGTTTACGTTTTTTGATGAATTGAGTTTGAATATTAAATCTTGGTTCAAAATCGTAGAGTTGCAATTTTATTTCGCTGATCAGTGAAAGCCTTATAGTACAGCCTTATAAAATTTATAATTTACTGAAGCTTTACAAATTGTATATTGACAAAGACATTATTTCTAAATCATTGTTCCATCAAATAAGGCATTCATTAATGATTTAAAGGGAAATTATTTAGAACAATTTATTTATATTATGATGTAATATGTTTACAGAAGTTTTATTTTTCAATAAACAAGGCAAATTTAAAACAATTTGTCTTATCATTTGTGCCCAGCAGTATTATGGAGTTATATACACATATATATTTTCTTGTTTTTATTAATTACGATCTAACAAATGACCTGACAGATCTTATTAATTGAAGTGCCATTTTTTATTTTAACTCCTTTGTGTATATCTTGGTGTTCATTCTGTAGAGCAGGTCTATTTTGGAAACGTGGTATTGCACTCAATTTGAAAGTTGGGGTCTCACATGATAAAATAATGATACAGAAATATGTTTTTCCAATTCCTTATCGTTTTTTGAGGAAACGAGTTTAAAGATTAAATCTTCGCGTTGCAATTTCATTTCGGTGATCAGTGAAAGCCTTAAAGAACAGCCTTATAAAATTTATAATTTACTGAAGTTTTACAAATTGTATATGGACAAGATGCAAGGCACAAGGACATTATTATCAGATCATTGTGACCTCAAAAAAGACCTTCAAAGGGAAATTATACTGATCAATTTATTTATATTATGATCTAATATGTTATACAGTTCAATAGTTTAGGGTGACTTTCAATAAAAAAAAGGAAATTTAAAACATTTTGTCCAATAAGTTGTACCCACCAGTTTTATGGTATTATATACACTTTTATCTATATTTTTTTTATTAATTATGATCTAACAAATCTTATTCATTGAGTAGCCATTTTTGTTTTAACACTTTTGTCTGCATCTTGGTGTTCCATCTGTAGAGCAGGTCCATTTTGGAAACGAGTTTAAACATTAAATCGTAGCGTTGCAATTTTATTTTATTTGCCTTATCACTTCCCATAATAATGATATAGAAATATGTTTTTCCAAATCCTTATCGTTTTTTGAGGAAACGAGTTTAAAGATTAAATCTTCGCTTTGCAATTTTATTCTGGTCATCAGTGAAAGCCTTATAGTACAGCCTTATAAAATTTATAATTTACTGAATGGAATGACTTTTGGAATTGCTTCAGGAATTTACCAGAACATATTCAAGGTGTCAAATTCCCAATAAAAATTAACTAGTTTTCATTTCACTAATTGTATGAAGACAATATACATGGCACAAGGACATTTATTACGAAATCACTGGGCCATCAAATAAGACCTTCCTTTACTTCAAAGGGAAATTATACTGAATAACTTAGCTATATTATGATGTAATATATTATACAGTACTGTAGTTTTAGTGATGATTTTCAGTGAACAATGCAAATTTAAAACAATTTGTCTTATAATTTGTACCCAGTAGTATTTTGGTGTTATATACACTTTTATCTATATTTGTTTTTATTAATTATGATCTATCAAACTTTATTTGGATTTATTCTTAAAATAGTAAATAATAATTGTTTTTTGAGAAAACGAGTTTAAATGATCAATTTTAATTTCAAAATCATAGTTTGCACAATTTCATTTCGGTGATCAGTGAAAATTTTAAAGTACAGGTTTACAATATTTATAATTTATGATATCTACAAATTGTATATAGATGCAAGGCACAAGGACATTATTACTAGATAATTATGACCTCAACAAACATAAAATTTATTTCAAAGGAAATTATACTGATCAATTTATTTATATTATGATGTAATATAAATTATACAGTTCAATAGTTTTAGTGTGGCTTTCAATAAACAATGCAAATTTAAAACATTTTGTCCAATAATTTGTACCAACCAGTTTTATTTTTTTTATTAATTATCATCTAACAAATCTTATTCATAGAGCAGCCATTTTTGTTTTAACACTTTTGTCTGCATCTTTGTGTTCCATCTGTAGAGCGTGTCCATTTTGGAGACGTGATATTGCACTCAGTTTGAAAGTTGGGGTTTCACATGATAAAATAATCGTACAGAATTTTTTTTTCTAAATCCTTATCGTTTTTTGAGGAAACGCGTTTAAATATTAAGTTTAGGGTTAAAATCTTCGCAATTTCATTCCGGTGATCAATGAAACTCTTATAGCACAGGCTTATAAAATTTAAAATTTACTGAATGTATATGGACAAGATGCAAGGCACAAGGACATTATTACGAAATCATTGGGCCATCAAATAAGACCTTCTTTTACTTCAAGGGGAAAGTCTACTGAATAATTTAGCTGTATGATGATATAATATGTTATACACTGCCGTAGTTTTAGTACGATTTTCAAGCAACAATACAAATTTAAAATAATTTGCTTATAATTTGTGCCAAGCTGTATTTTGGTGTTATATACACTTATATCTATATTTTGTTTTTATTAATTATGATCTATCAAATGATTTAAAACTCTTATTCATTGAGTAGACGTTTTTTGTAATATTTTACAATTATTTTTACAGTTTTTACTTATCGAATACAGTAATAAAATTGCATATTTTGCTTGTGGTGATTCATAATTAGAATTCTGGTTTGAATATATTTTCCATTCAGTGTATCTACATAGAAAAGATATTAACTTAATTTGGGTTTATTCTTGAAATAGAAAAAATATGTAGTAAGCTTGTAAATAAAAACCGGCGGAAATTAAATATTGCTGTATATTTTTCAGGTGAGGTTTAAGACTAAATAATCAATACTTGTGACAGTATTTATTCCATTTTTGTCGGCGTTTACATGAATCGAACCAGCATAACTGATTCTCTGAAAACAATGAAAAATCAACCTGCGCAAAAAAAATTAATTTGGAAATTTTTTTCAGGCTTTGTTGTGCACGTTGAGATGATGGCCGATGAAATCCAAATTCACCAACCTGATAAATCACCTATGATGATTTGTGAATGGGCTGGAGGGCAGAGTGATCTGAATCGTCGCTTGTCGACAGGTTAAACGTAAATGAAAGGTTACGACTTTGAATTAAGATTTTTCTTTCTCCTATACTGGTTAGCAACGAAATCTGTCATGGAATTTAACTTATAGATAAAGGTGAGTAAAGATACAGATTCATAGGTTTGATAAGAATATATTGTCGCAAAAATGAAAGTGAAAGTGAAAGTAATAATCTCGACTGGATTTCGAATCGAGCTATCCGAGTTTAACCACATATTCACAACAATCGACGTTAAGATGCTAGCAATGCCTGTGCTGAGAGTCCTGTCAGCTTGCACACCACCACAAATACTCATGCCAAGAACGTCTCATTCACCTTTCAGCCTCGAGGGAGGAGCTTCTGGCTAAGTGTGTGGGCTTCTTCACCGCGCTGAGTTGTCCACGAAAATGAAATTAACGCGAATGACTATGTAAACACTATTTGATTCACACTGTTTCCGCCACCGCCCCTGTGGGTGGGGAGGGAAAAGGAGGAAGAGAAATCCAGATGCAATCGTCTAATGTAAAAATGTAAAAAGTGACCCAATTCATTCAACCGAAGGAAACTGGTTCGCAAAGCTGGCACTAATTTGTTGAAGATCCGAGATTATGGCCAAATGTAGACACGCCAGGAAGTTAATTTTGTGTTGAAACTTGACTAATGCATGGAATAATAATGCAACACAAAATGTACTTAGAACAAAATGTATTGAAACAAGAAAGTGTACACAATATTTACATATAGTCTTTTGTATATTCCTGGGAAGACCGTTCCTGGAGAATGTGTTGACTTGAGTCGCAGTCGGGCAGAGTCTCTGGATTGAATCTCTTGATTCCTCCCTCTCTTCCCGGTACCAACCATATTTATATGGTCGGTACTCCACTATGCAAATTAGGTGGATCCTACCACAACAATAATATTAAAGATGATATATAGATATAAAAAAAATATGACCATTGATAATATAGATTTTTATAGAAAATTAATAATAGATAGATAGATAGAATAGATAAAATGTAAAGAAAAAAATGAGAAGATATTTATATATATATATAAAAAGATATTTAGATAAATTTTAAAACAATGGATAGATTGAACAAAATAGATAGATAGAAGATAAATAGGTGTATTATGAAAAATGAATATTTTTCAACAGAATATACATCAAAAGTTATACATAGATAAATTTAGAAGAAACTGAAATTTTAATATATATATATAGATAGATCAACTATAATAGATATGATATGATAAAATAATAGATAGATAGATTGATTTAAATAATAAAAAATAGGAACTCAATTTCTTT